CCGTCGGAATCGCGGAATACGTGCCGTCGCTCGCTCCTATTATTCAAAATAAAAAAGAACATTTCTTAACATCTGCACTCGACTCATTTCTCAATCTCCTTATCCTCCAGCGGATCTACGGATTCGCGTTACACACCGCTTCTCGCTCATCTCTGAGCGTTTCTATCAGTTTCGGGCAATCTCGTCGAGGTCGACTCCCGAACAGATGTCGATATATATAACTTGCGGATCTCTGTCTCTTCAGGATATATCTTTTCCTTCACTTTTGGTAAATATTTTTAGCTATCCATCTTTTCTCTTATGTTCAATGTATAAATACTATTATATTATAGATATTTATTAGATTTACTTATATACCTCTAAAAAATATCGCTAACATTGTTCGATATAATCCCGAAATTGACGTAAAATACGTCGGCGCGTTTACCCTCTTCAATAAGAAGATACCGTAACATACGAAGATGTTTAATTCCTAAAATCGTTTGCACTGTATTTAATATTTCAAGCATGGCATTTTACGGCCCATTTGCTCTCACTATCAACTACAGTCTTTATATCCTTGAAAAGGAGCACAGATAATTTTAACCCCATCATTATAATTGCAAATTGTATTAATGGATGTAAATGGAATTATTTTCCAATCTCTTATAAAACACCCTGTATAAGTCCAATGTGTAGATGGCAAAAGATTTATTTTTAATTTATGGACATATATCAGAGCAATTATACGACAATATAATTTCACGTCCTCTACTTCGAGAAATAAAGAATATGGGGAGCAGGTGATGTGTAAGTTAAGATTGGAATAATGTATAAATATTTAGTGTATCGTGACACATAGATAGGAATTATATTTTTCTCTGAATGTTAATCGATAATGTTATTGTAGATACACGATTATGTTCTCGATTATTGTCCATATTATTTCATTTTAGTCTTTGAGCGAGAATTAGCAACGATGTTGAAAGGTGACCGTTCATGTGGCCAACTGGTTGCATTCAACAGAATAAAATTTAATTTTGTGATTTTACTGATAATGAGATACTTTGCTCATTGTCAGTCTCTTTCGCGTGGTGCTTATCTGAATTATTTTGTTTCATGTTTAATTTTTACTTTTATATATATTTTTGAAATCTTAACAAGATATAACTATAGTACTAATAAGACTACTAATAAATTTCTCTCTCTGGTGAAGAAATTAATTTCTAATTACGCAATATATGAAATTTATGTTGCCATGTATCTATGTTTGTTGCATATCTTGTTATAAAACAATAAATTGCTTCAGGCTCTAATGTTTCTATAGTCCACAATGTTTTATTCATGTCCTATCTTTAATTACGTTATAGATGTAGAAATGCGAAAGATTAATATGATTAAACCTGTAAAACTGGTTGGAAGTCGCAATATTCCTTCCATTTGGTGTATTGTAAATCTTACTGACTCCGTCAGAAGAATTGAGTGAGAAAGCTTACGAAACCCATAACCCTATTAAAACTATAACAAATATTACAAATTCTGATTGTAATTAGCATAAACAATAATCAATAAATGGCTGTCATGAATAATTTGTAACTACATATTTTCTAAACACATTATAAGTACCCATAAATTTATATTCATTTAGCACATATATAAATATCTCAACTTAAACTGCTGGATAATAATAGATTATATTTTTTTATTAAAAGAATCTAGAATTAGACATCACTTTCAAATCACCTGTGCAAAGATTCGCTCTATATGTACATTTCTCCGCGTTTCTTATCAAACGATCAACGACCTCGATAAAAATAATGTCCTGAATTAATTCAGGACATTCTTGGATTCAGGATTAATTCTTGAGAAGAAATGAAAATTAACGAAGTTTTCGAAGAATTTTATATCGGTATTAATCTCACCTATGTGTTATTTTCTGACTAATCACGGATGAAACTCGAATCTTAAATGAATGACAGACAAAATATATACATATATATATGCAACGTTGTATATCTAAGGTCAACCTCGCACCGATAAACGAGCGATCGAACTCCTGGCAATGGCAATGGCTCGGATGAGACACCTTTATCGCGTCCCGTGTCGCACTCTAGGTCAAAGCCATCGCGAAATAACACGCATTGCATACAAAATCATTGACATTACTCGCTCGAAACGCGTTCTTCGTTCTTTCTTCTTCTCGGCATTAATGTAATTCGAAAAAAATTTCCGTTCCGTTTCGAGTCAGAGTCTCGCGATACTACCGAGATATTTTCGTAATCGGAAAACAACCGACGTAAATTTCAGACTTTCATCGCCATTACATTATTAGAGTACTGAATGGTTTCTGAATCCAATTAAACTTTCACATAAAAACGAAACAAACGTCCAGTCAGTATGAGATTTATCTCAATTTAAAAGAAGAAAAATATTCTACCGGATTTTTGTGGAATGATCTGAAAAAATTTTTAAACTTTCAAATTATTATTTTTTTTTTTTATAACATTATAATAACAAATATTGGCAAGTGCGAGATATTTTTGGAATGTTTGTGATGTTCAAATCTACGGATTTTAAATTTCCGAGAACATATACATATATAAAAATGTATACTTAAAAATGCATAATCAAGACAATGTGCACTTCTAAAAATTGTTCAAATTTTTACGATAATTATTTATCATCTAAACACGAAGTTGTCCAATTGTAAAAAATTTCTTCAAGATAGATCCAGAATCACAATATTTCGATATATTCTTCCGCATATACAATCGACCAAAGTGGATCCAGCAGCCCGCTTCTCGAATTATATAATCGAAATTGACAATATATCTGGCAGCCGAGCCATATGCACGACAGCGCGACGATATCTTCGAGACATCCCCGAAGACTAGAAGAGTATCCTCTTCGGGGATAGTCTCTCTCTTTCAACAACTCGTGCAGCGATTTGTCGGCGATAGCTGACGTGCGAGCGTCGCGATTAATTCGCATTCCGGGAGACCGTAAATAAGCGGGTTAATAGCTCGATCAGTAGGGATGGGATCAAGTTCAATATGTCGATCACGAATTCGAATCAATTTTGATACTATTTTAATTCATTTCACAGAGTTGAGCGGGTATCACTCACACATAAAAAAACTACTACTTTATTCTTCGTAAAAAGCATTATTTTTGGAGCTTAGAATGAGTAAGTGCAGAGTTTGAAGTTAATATATTAAAAGGCATCAAATCAAAGTAATGCTTGAATAAGAGGCATTACGATTTTTGTGGAATCCAAGCAGTGAACTGATTATCATTATGTGATTGTCTAGTAATGTAGAATTATAAACAGTTCTCGAAACGGCTCAGATTTCTACCCAGGTCACTTATGAGATAAGAATTTCTTTTACAGTCCGTCTTTGAGTAAACTTTTCCCTTTTGAAAACGCATTATTTTTGTCCTTCCTCATTTTGGCATTCTATTTCAGTTTCCACAGAAAACTTTCAAAAGTGATCGATGGTATTTCGTGTCGTCAAAACATCGTCTGAACGAAATTTCGCCATTGACCGTTATTGGAAATTTCACGACTGTTGCGAAATACTTAATCCCATCTCTACCGATTATGCGAACCGGGAAAGATAAACCGACGACAAGTCGCCGTTGACGATGACGGTAATGGCGTTCTGGAACTAATCGTGGTCGCACGCGTGCGATCGCGACTCCCTGGGGATCGGCGCAGTGACGGTACCGGGTGGCACAGGCTAGCATCCTTATCTCGGGGGAGCTGTGCGCCACAATCTCTCTCTGTATCGTCATACACTTGTCGACGTCTTCTTATCTGGAGGATTCAACCATCAGTTGTAGTCTCGGCACGACCCTCGACTGGTCGTGACGCGCGGATCGACGTTTCCGATCGTGTGTTATCTTTCGTGACACCGTCATTGTGCGAGGTTTCGAGAATGCACAGTTTCGCACTTGCCGCGGCAAAATCAGTTTATCAATATATCAGTAGTTTAGAAATTTAAAATCGCAAAATCTTTTTCTCTCTCTTATTTACTTAGAACAAAAACAGAAATATGAATGAGAAATATGCCATTAAATTTTTGTATAATGCTCAGGAGACTTTATAACATGAACACTTCTCTCCTATTATCGAGAGACAACTTGAAAATCGTATGATATTGTGATTAATTAATACGAGCGAATCTCTTAACCGGACGTTTAAATATATCGCAAACAATTACTAAAGTTTGCTTTGTTAGTTTCATGCGAATCGTGATGCAGTGATTAATAAACAGATAATCGTGTCATGATAACGGGAAACACATCTGAATCGATCTTCAGAGTAATCATGTAAACTTCGGATTAAATTCTTATTTTGAAAATTATTATCGCACGTAGTCGCCAATTTGCATAAGAAGTACATGAAACAGACTTCGTATCTATTCGATAAATTTTTTAATATGATTGAGGAAGCTATAACGTTCGATGTGAGTATATGAAACATAATACATATTCCAATGCAATATTTAATTATCTCTACAATATATACGTTGCATTCGACAATGTCATGTTTCATCACGTGTATCTATTCTTGTATTACATCACATCATGTAAAAATTGTAGCCAGTGTAATTTCCGCACAATTAAGAATAAAAAATTGACAAAATAATAGGATTAAAAAACATTAAAAATATCTACAAAATTATCTCATTGAAGTGAAGATGTAATATATATGTCGATATTAATCTACAAAGTCTTAAAACGCGTATCAAAAAATATTTGATGATATTTATTTGTATAGATGACAGATAAACTACTCTTCTCCGATCTGGGATTGACGATGGACACCAGTGTCGAAAAACAATTCTTCTCGCCGGTCAAGACAAATCTATCTAGCGATTACGAAGTATCGTGTACTCTGCTTAGCAACGATTTTGGTATACACGATGGTGATCAGTTGAACGCGATAAATCCAAAAGATTGTTGTACTGACTTAACTTGCTCTTTGCTATCATCTTGGAATGACTGGCCGACTACTAACACGCCTACTTCATCAGGTATACATTTTCTCTTTTTCATTTATAAATATATAATAACATATATAGATATATACATACTAAATATAGTAATAATGATGATTCGACAATATATTATTTCATAAAAGAATATACTGAGATGTCCATATTTTCCTTCGAAGGTAAAATTTAGATTTTAAACAGCAATAAAAAGAGAGAAAGAACGAAAGAGAGAGAGAGAGAGAGAGAGAGAGAGAATTGCAAATTTTATAATTATAAATTATAGAACTTTTAAAATATATATCAAATAATTGCAGGTTGTTTAAGCGAATTGAGCGAATTGGACTCTGAGCTAGATTGGTGTCTAGAGAGAAGCTGGGACTCTGGCCTCCCAGAAAGAACACCATTATGTACTGCAGGGTGCGAAGGCTGCATTTACTGTCTTTACCAAATTCACAACATATGCCAAAATACGAAGAACCGTTGTTGGTGCTCGGAATCGATTTACGAGCATTGGAGAACGAATTTGGAATAAATACGATAGGTATGCTATTACTAAAAGTATATTACTTCTCATTACGATTATTCCGAGAGAATCTAAAAAATTGATATTACTGAAAATATGGGAAGATTTTTAAAAAATCATCCAATGTACAAAAAAAAGCAATCTATATTATATTATAATATTCTTGAATAATATCACACAAGATTTTCTAAAAATAATCAACTACTATTGTATTAATAATAAATATTATATATCCAAAATATGTTATTACAATATTTCAATAATCATATATAAAGATCGATTTATCTTGCGATTGCAGATTATATAATAATAATCAGTTAGACGACGATCCTCTAATTCCATCAGCAGCTACCGCTACATTAGCAACGCATGATTACACCAATCGTAGCTTAGCAAATGCAGTCGAAGATCGATACTTTTCATGTATCTATCAAGGCTGTGTAAAGGTAAGCCTTTTTCGTGTAACACTAATTTTTTGTCGATTATATCACGCTAAGTCAATTCCAACATAATAGTCGGAATATTTTTTAGAAAAAGAGCACAATTGTGGTTCAATTAAAATTTTTTATGATTCATAATTACGGTTTTTATATAAGAAGAGATTAATTCTCAAAATACGTATTTTTTAGAAAATTATGATTTAGTCAAAAGCGCGCAATTGTGATTTAATTAAAATTCTTTACGGTTCACAATTACAATTTTTACTTAAGAAAAGATTAATTCGCTGAAAAATAAAAACTGCATCCTTATTACCTCGAATATTTTGTGCGCAAGTATCCCATATCAAACGGCGCGATAGCGTCGCGACGCCAAGTATATAAAAAGAACGGTTTGCCTATGTAATAATATTTATAATATTTTTGTAACATTCTTAGCACATTTTTTTCATGTCTATGCCAAAGCTTCTCACTTGAAAGCTCATTTACGGCGGCACACCGGCGAAAAGCCGTTCGCATGCACCTGGACCGGTTGCGGATGGCGTTTCAGTCGATCGGACGAGCTAGCGAGGCATCGACAATCGCACTCGGGCGTTAAACCGTATCCCTGCGAAATGTGCTCCAAGAGATTCGCGCGCAGCAATCATCTGGCCATACATCATAAAGTGCACCGAAAAAACGCCTATCCCTTATTCCATGGTGCTACGCGGCGACAAGATGAACGTTTTACCGACGGATTAATTTAAATCTCTAAGATATTTCGCGTTTCCTAAATTTTTTTTCCTAAGCGATAAAGCTAGACAAAGCTTATCGTCGACGAAACAAGTTTTATGCTATAACGTATAACTTCTATATAAATCGACAAGTACTTAAAACGTTTTTATAAAAATAGTTAATATAGAAATAACCTACTAAATAAATAATGATTCTTAACATTTTCGGCGGCTAATATAAAACTTTAAAATGAACTATCTATAATTTGATATGTTTGAGCTTCTTAAGGGGATCCTGGACCATCATGTTTTTACCAACCGAACGCAATTTTTAAAGAAGGCACCCAATGGCGTAAAATGAATAAATGAATAAATATATCTAAAATAATTAAAACGTTTAGTGCTGGTCTACAATAGGTGATTTAAGCCTTAAGCCTTAAGAAATTGACCAATCACAATCAAGTATGAGGAGAATACTCGATTGTGATTAGTCAATTTCTTAAGGCTTAGGGCTTAAATCACCTATTGTAGACCGGCACTTAAGAAATAAAATTATTTGCTTAGAACATAAATAAAAATTTTTTCCATTTTGTCCAAAGCGTCATCCTAATTGATCTTTTTTTCATTTAAGGCTAATAATGAAATTGGTAAACCCTTGGGGTGAGCAATTTCATTACGCCATTGAGTGGCCTTCTTTAAAGCCACGTTCAGTTCTGTTATTTTTATGTTTCCGCTTGTGAGTTTCTCACGGAACTCTCTCCATCTTTTTATATCATTTATTTCAAGCAAATGATTTCCTTCCTCAACCATTTTATCATATTCACTTAAGGAAGTCATTTTTCCAATTTTCTTGTTCTTACTTATGATTTCCAGCCGGATAAACATTTTGACGCTGGACGCCAATTCCCCCACATATAAGATTCGGAGTATGTTATCTTGCTCTTTTATCTTTTGTTTCATTGAGTGTACTTCATATTTTAAGAATCCAATTTCTTGCGACAGCTGTTTATTTTCTTGCGATAGCTGTTTATTTTCTTACGACTGCTGTTTCATAAGTTGATATAGCTGTTTATGAACTATCTATAATATTGCCTCGCGACATATTAAAGTGGGCATCCAATGGAGTAAAATGAATAAATTAAATAAATAATCATTAAAAATAATTAAAACATCTAAAAAATTAAATATATAATCATTTATCATGTAAAATGTACTTAAATATTTTTTTCATTTTATACAATGTTTCATCCTAATTGATTTGTTTTGAATTGTTCAAACTTAGTAACGTAACTGGGAAACCTTTGGGATGTGCCACGATATTCCTCCATTCGGATGCCTTCTATAACATCTCGTTTAATTCATTAATATCAATATTGTCGCGTTGGAGTTTCTCGCGAAACTCTCTCCATCTTTTTATTTCGTCCTCTGTGAGAAAATGACTTTCCTTGTCAACCATTTGGTTTAAATCTACTAAGGAAGTTATTTTTTGGTCTAATATTCTGTTATTTATAATTTTTAAACGGATGAATTGTTTCACATTGGAGGCCAATTCTCCAATATAAAAAATTTTTAATATAATGTCTTGTTCCTCAAATTTTTTTTTTTTCATTTCTTCGTTCGCTTTTTTCATTTCTTCGTTCGCAATTTGAATATCTTTAATTTGTAGAGACTGGTTTTTTATCTCTTTGCGTAAATGTTTAATTTCTTTACGCAGATTCTGCGAGGAGATATGTCGAGATGTCCATGACAGCATCCTCACAATAGAAATATTTTTCCACATCCTGGAAATAAAAAAGTATTTTTTAGGAATAACTAAAAAAGTTATTTAATATTGATTTTTTATATAAGTATGAGATAAGAGCAGTGTAAAAAGATTGTCAATTAGGAGAAACTTACTAAGATTTTTAAAAATCCGGATGTTATTTTTATTCAATTCGTCAAATTAAAAAATTTTGTGAGTATCGTAAAACATATTTTCAAAAAAATTATTCTTCTAATTTCAATATCGTATATGCGTAGATATTTTAAAAATGAAGTACACACAAATTTCTCTAGCAATAACGTCAATATCAAATGCACATATGCATTACATTAAACAATTTTACTTACTTATATTATTATTAAATGCAAAATAAAATTATCTAAAAAATGACTATTTAATAAAAGAAAAATCTTTACTATAGTATAAAATAATTTCCCTTCATTCGCCTTCACATGTGCAATGACCGAAGTAACCGTGTCGATGTATGTAGGCGAAGAGGGAATGCAAAGCTTCTCTATTTTATAAAAAAAGATGTTAACTTAATAAAATATATGACATATAAAATTTTTATATGTTACATTTTTATCATATTTCCATAATTTTTTTAAGGCATTTAAAAACATTTCCCGAAACTATTACACATATATCTATTACCTATATATATGTGTGTATCATTTCTATATTTTTTTATACTAAAAAAAATTATTTTTATAAATTTATTTTTGATTAACTTAATTCTCTCTCTCTCTCTCTCTCTCTCTCTCTCAATTGTGTATTTTATACGCAAAATACTATACATCACTTCGTTTGAAATGGAAAGATACAGTCGATACAGGCATACGTCTGGCTTGACTAAATTTAATTTATAACTATCTATTAATTTCAGGTATAAATCAGATGTTTGTATAGTGAAAGAAATACGCGGTCCACGACGTAGGTTTGTAGGTGAATTCCAGCGTGTATCGCTGTTTTATATTATGTATAACGCCATACTACTTTGAAATGATAGTTGCACCCTCATAGACAATGGAGAGACTTCTCTACCTGAGTGATTTTCTCTCGTTGTGATTTCTGCTCGAGCATTGTTTAGATTCATCTCAGCTTCTCTATCGATCTCTCTTTTTTTCATAAAAGTTCATCGTTCAAGTAAACGGCCTTGTTCTTTGTATGTGTATGGACCGTATAGATGTATTCCACAATATACACTAGATCTTTCCGCGTTATACATGATACAAACGTCAATGTTCGACGTAAAAGTTAATAGAATTTTAAAGTAAATATCCTTATTTCACTCGTTTTGCTAAAAATTTATTCTAAGCGTACTGCTATATTTAATTACTATGAAAGTCGTTATTTAATAGCGTAATTAATCTATTTTTTAAATATATATGATTACATATTATATTTTAGTGCATCCCTCCTTTAATAAATAGAAATAATTAAGATGCAATTGTATTTTTACTTGTAATAAAAATTATATAAATTTCAAGGAATTAAAACTATTTATTTTAAACCTGATCTATTTTTTCAAGACTGTAACACTTGAAAATTTCTTCGAATAGCAAAGAAATTTTGGCAAATTGCGCGTACGACACACTGCATGAAAGCGAGAGCATCAGACTCTCGAGATTGTCGTCTTTAAAGGAATATAACCGTGTGTAGGACAAGCTTGCTCAGAACGATTACACGAGTGACCGATCGGCAGTGAGGAACAGACTCACCACCGCCCATCAGCCACCACAGTCTCTCCGCCACCCTCCACTTCTTCATCCCGCTCTTATCATACCGCTCCTCTCTTCATCTTCTCTACCCTGACATGGCACATGCCCGGCGTCTCGTGCCCCTTCGTCGAGCTAGAATTCTCGCTCCGTTTATTTTGCGCGACGAAGAGGCTGATCTCGACGGTTTACAATGTACGAGCATTAATACGTCCCACGTTGCTAGGGCATTAGTGTCTTTTATGCGCTACGATTCCAAGAGGTGGTCTTGCGATCGACATTTATATGGATGCATCTTTTATTATTATAATTAGGAATTAATCGAATCAATGCGCATATATTCCCCAACTGAGAATCTCTATTATCGTTAAAATTCTGAATGAATAAACTGAAGTAATGCTTTATTATAGCAAAAGAAATCTATTATAACAATTCGTATATATTCATTAAAAGACGGTTTATCGGGTACAATTATTTTGTAACATACTGCGGATATATTGTGAACATGTATAATAAGTATACGGCCACCAGTTACAAGTTTATGCATATCGTTGACGTTAATCCTTGCGGTAATATTATCGTCCATTTATATAAGCAAATCGATATTAGCCCGTAGAACAATCTACTAGTGTATTTAAGGTGTACTTGCGTAACTATACGTAAACTTACATACGATTATTTGTATTCGACTTGAGGGTATATATTGTAATATATATTGTATTCTCTATTTTCATAATCATTTAAAATTGAAAAGGAAAAGAGATGTAAAAAGGAAAAAAAAGCAGTGAAAAATTTACAGCGCAGAAGGAAAACAAATAATATCACACATATATTATATGTATCGTAATCATCAAAGAATTGAACGAACGATTAGGAAAAATATATTGCAAAATGTATTTTACAAAAAAAAAATTATAAAAAAACACGCAGAGCTAAAACAGTTCTGATAATCACTGAAACATTTAAAAAAACATAAAAAATTGGATAACTGAGACAATAGTGCAAGTCGCATGCTATCGTAAACTAAACAGGAAAAGATTTAAATAAGAAAATTTTAAAAAAAGAGAATAAATAAGATTACAATAAATGCTATACTTTCGACTAAAAACTAAAGTTGTAATACATCGTATATTTATGTTTATCGACAGCCAACGATAGATTATTGATGCAGAGACAAAACCATAGAATATTCAGGTATACTCGCGAACGGAAATCAAAGGATGGAAAAAAACTGATACCTCTTTTTTTTCTTTTTTCCACAAAGTTTGACTTAATATATGCGATAGAATTACATATACGAGAGTTTATTTCTTCATGTCTATGAACAAAACTTATCGCCTTCATTTCGAAAAGAGTAAAGGCAATATTATTTTTGCTATACTTAATGATATAATGCGCAATTATTTAATTGTTTGGTCAGAAAATGCGTTGATTCAACATCGACACAATTTATAATGCGCTGGAATTATTTAATTCATTCACATATTTACGCGGTATAGATACAACATGCCAATGCCATGTGTTTACAAACGATATTGAATCGCGCTGAATAGAAACGTATTAAACTGAAATTGATCAACGTTTCACACAATACGACGGCGATAATAAATAGGACATAAAAGAATATTAAAAAAAAATAAAATATAACAACGTTACTCAGTCAATAGCTTTTACACATAAGACACTGGTCTATTGCATGTCATTAAGTAAAAAAAAATCATGTGTTATTTATTTTCTTCAATTTTTTTTATATTTCTAAATATAAGGAAATAATATTATAGATAAGATATCGAACATTAATAAAAATTAAACTTTAGTAAATCTGCTAAATAAAATTGATTACATTTGATTACTATTAACAGATAAATACTATTAAAAGATAATTATTTTTTTTTTATTTACGTAATTAACAATCTGTTATAAAAAATAATTAGCTAAACGAATGTATTATATATAATATAACCGCATAGATACTTTTATCGCGCACATATGAAGTTATTCTGTTATACTGCAAAAGAAAATAACTAATAAAAAAAATTATATTATATGGAACAATTCGCATATAGTGTGTTGAAGAAAAATTTGTATTATCAAAATATATAAGCAAATAGTCTTTAATGTATTTAAAAAACTATTATTTAAATTAAATTTATTAAATAAAATTATTATTTAAATGTTTTTGCTCAATCTCAGAAATTGCCAATAAGTCTGTGCAGGTATTTTTTATTAGGAAAATATTTAAAACTCATTCTTGATTAGCAACTGGAATGTATCTTGCCCATCTTTCGATGGCTTATTGATATTCTTCGGTCTTGCCGTGGCGCAAAATGCTTTGAGAAAAGTATGCCTTTATCCTATCCTTCCATTCGCCAATTATAGCTTTACTTTGAAAGGTAGCGGTACTTTTAAACTCGTATATAAAATTGTATAATCTATTGAGAAGCACAACAAGAACGTAATTATATACAAACGCCATTTTTTTCATTGTATTTAGATTCGACATCGGCACACGAACCACTTTTAACTTCCCGGATTTAAATTCATTCGATTTTCTTCAAGAGGCATGCAGTTTTTTTCAAATTAATCAAGTGCTCCTCCTAATTTACCCTTTTTTTTAACTTCGGAATATCTCTATCTCTTTCTCCCCCCCCCACTTTCTCTCTCTCTCTCTCTCTCTCTCTCTCTCGAAGATGCTCTTTTAATGCAACACGCGAATTTTTTTAATATCGCAAGAGCATTTTTAAATTCTCCTAAATTTTCAGCGTCTATTCTTATTTTTTATACGTTTTGCTTTCGCGAAAATATTATCCCCTCGCGATATGATTTTTTTTTAAGGTAAATTCTCTTACACGCATAAATATAATATATCATACGAAAAGCGTGCTTTAATCTTCTTATATCTCCTATATAGAATAGCAGCAAAATTTATTTGCATATTGCTCATATGTTAAATTTACATAATTTATTGACGCAAACAAAGAATTCAATTGTTTATTAAATAATCAATTTTTCTCTTTCCTTTTCTTTTTAATAACTTACAAAGAATTGTTTTTTGATAATCTACAATTCATCAGAATACAAAAAATATTAATTTTTCAATTTTTCAAATATAAATAGCCTGTCTGCTCTTTCTTCTTATATGTGCTTCAAGCTCTAATAAACAGCAAATATATAATTGGAATTGACATTTCTTAAATATTTGAGGATTATATCCAGATTAATAATTACTCTCGACTAGAAATTTCTGATAATCAAATGCAGTTACGGTGACACATTGATAAATTAGTTTAGTCTAAAGTAGCGTGACTTTCATGTACGATGTACGTCAAGATACAACAACGAGATTAGCGCGATAGATTGTACCACTTTACGGAAGTTTGGTGGATATTTATATTTAATTAATTCTTGATGCCCCCAAAGTGAAAGATAATTAAATCAATAAATATTTTTTTACAGATATTAACCAATTATTTTCGATATGTTTCAGAATGCTTATCAACTCAGTTCTTTTTCTGGCAGTCTGGATCAATTCGGCGATTGCGGAAGAATCATCTCCCAGCGATGCTATGTCCGACAAACGAGCGCCTATGGGGTTTCAGGGTATGCGCGGAAAGAAAAATCTCATCCCCACTTCGTTAGAACATAATAAATTGTCTCAGAGAACGCTAATGGATTTTCAAGTAAGCTACGAAGAAAAAGCAGAAAAAGAAATCGTTTTACTTAATTCTTACTTTCTGAATTATTTATGAGAAACAAAATGTGTTAATTATAGGATACGCGTGATGATAAGGAGTCGAACGCGCCCGATATTGAAGATAATCTTTTGCACGAGTTTGAGAAACGGGCACCAATGGGATTTCAGGGTATGAGAGGGAAAAAGGATTATTTGACGCCTGATTTCGAAGATTCCTACTTTCGTAACGAGAAAAAAGCACCGATGGGTTTTCAGGGTATGAGAGGCAAGAAAATTATTTCGGAGGATGAGTATTATAAACGAGCACCAATGGGATTTCAAGGAATGAGAGGAAAGAAGTCTTTGGAAGAGGTAAGCCTAAAAATATTCAATATTAATTAAATTATTGCACTTGAAGAGAATTTAAGACAATAAAATGCATAATTCTTTAAATATTCTTTTGAAGTATGACATCGTACACAAATGGATGTTATAAATTATAATCTACTTTTTGCTCTCTGAGTCTTCTGTTTTAAATGGAAATACGTAATTATCCCATAAACATTTAATTATAACATTTTTTAATCATCCACGAGCATTTAAATATAATCTATTTTTAATTAGCGATATTTACTTAAAATTCTTAATGTTACTTCTTATGTTATATTCTATTTTCCTGAAAATTGAATATATAAACAGGTGTTAGGCGAAATTGAAAAGAAGGCCGCGATGGACTTTTATGGTACGAGAGAGAAAAAGACATACGTTTTCGAATATCCGGAAGATTACGAAAAGAGACTTCTCGCAATGGGATTTCAATGTACTCGTGACAAGTTGAAAGAATTTCCGGGAGAGTGGGAGAAAAGGGCTCCCATGGGATTTCAAGGGATGAGAGGCAAGAAATCATTGTTCGACGAGATAGAAGAACTTGAGAAACGGACTATCATGGGTTTTCAGGTTATTTGCTCAATTGTGAAGTTATATATCTACTATCCATTTCAAGGAAAAAGCGAAAATATACATAAAATAGTATATAATTTTGTCATAATTATTACAAAAAGAAATGAATAATATATA